TGATCCATCTACTCACTAGATTCGCCGTGGCTTCAATTCGGTCATCGTAAGGGAAACGTTTCAATGTGATGCGGTCGCAGTCCTTCAAAACGTAGAGGTTTACAGTGTAAGAGGCGAAATTTATGCGGATATATGAGGAAGATAACGGTTAGCCCTGGACTTGAACAGGTTAAGATTGTAACGACGGGGAAAGCATCCTCTTGGGAGTCGGTTCTACAAATCAGAGGGTTACAGAGTAAGAGGCACTGATTAAATATGAGGAAGAGGGTTAACCTGGACTTGAATAGGTTAAGTAAGGGTCAGGCATCCTCTTGGGAGTATTACAGGGGCACTGATTATGGGGGATATATGAGGAAGATAAAGGTTAACCCTGGACTTGAATAGGTTAAGATTGCAACGGTCGGGAAAGCATCCTCTTGGGAGTCGGTTCTACAAATCAGAGGGTTACAGGGTAAGAGGCACTGATTATGGGGATATATGAGGAAGATAACGGTTAGCCCTGGACTTGAACAGGTTAAGATTGCAACGATCGGGAAAGCATCCTCTTGGGAGTCGGTTCTACAAATCAGAGGGTTACAGAGTAAGAGGCACTGATTATGGGCATATGAGGGAAGATAAAGTTAGCAACAGGTTAAGATTGCAACGATCGGGAAAGCATCCTCTTGGGAGTCGGTTCTACAAATCAGAGGGTTACAGAGTAAGAGGCACTGATTATGGGCATATGAGGAAGATAAAGGTTAGCCCTGGACTTGAACAGGTTAAGATTGTAACGATCGGGAAAGCATCCTCTTGGGAGTCGGTTCTACAAATCAGAGGGTTACAGAGTAAGAGACACTGATTATGGGGATATATGAGGAAGATAAAGGTTAGCCCTGGACTTGAACAGGTTAAGATTGTAACGATCGGGAAAGCATCCTCTTGGGAGTCGGTTACTACAAATCACTGATTATAGGGGATTACAGAGAAAAAGAACCCTGGACTTGAATAGGTTAAGGTAACGACAGGGGAAAGCATATCGGTTCTACAAATCAGAGGTTTTACAAGTAAGAGGCACTGATTATGGGGATATATGAGAAAAATAAAGGTTAACCCTGGACTTGAATAGGTTAAGATTGTAACGACGGGGAAAGCATCCTCTTGGGAGTCGGTTCTACAAATCAGAGGGTTACAGAGTAAGAGACACTGATTATGGGGATATATGAAGAAGATAAAGGTTAACCCTGGACTTGAACAGGTTAAGATTGTAGTAATCAGGGAAGCATTCTCTTGGGAGTCGCTTCTACAAAGCATGTAGAGGGTTAAAGTTTATGTGGATAAGTGGGGAACATAACGGTTAAGCCTAGACTTGAACAGGTTAAAATTGTAGTGACCGGGGAAGCATCCTCTTGGGAATCGCTTCTACAAAGCAATGTAGAGGGTTACAGTTTATGTTGATATGTGGGGAAGATAACGGTTAAGTCTAGACTTGAACAGGTTAAGATTGTAGTGATCGGGGAAGCATCCTCTTGGGAGTCGTTTCTACAAAGTTGGTAGAGGGTTACAATTTATAAGGATATGTGGGGAAGATAAGGGTTAACCCTAGACTTGAACAGGTTAAGATTGTAGTAATTGTGGAAGCATCCTCTTGGGAGTCGGTTGCACAAAACTGATAGAAGTATTGTAAAGACAATGCCGTTTGAATGGTTATAATAGCGATGGTGCTTCTAGATCGCCCATTTTTCAATATATTTTTTTCTGTCATGGGCATAATTATTTTCATGCAATTTTGCAGGTGTTCATTAAACTAACAGCTGATGTCTAAAAACTGTTCACTTGAAATACCCTCATTAGTGAAAGGGGGAAATGAAATATGATCGATCAATTTGGAAAAGTCCAATCGATATGACAGGTGCGTGAGAAGGAGCAAAGCTGGCGGTAAGTGGGGGGGGCGTAAAATATTACTTTATGTCCAGTGGTTTAGACAGGAAGCAAAGAGAGCAATGCCTAATGTCGAACTGGGAGCTTGATGAATTCAAATATTGAGAGAGAATGCAGAATCACTCAAATTCAATCCGTTTTTTTCCACAGACGAAACACAGACTGGCCATGTCTATCAATCGGCATCAATTTCCTTGAACAAGCTGTCAATCAATACATACTTACATACATACATAGACACACACTCATATACACACACACACACACACACACACACACACACACATATATATATATATATATATATATAAAAACACATATATGTATACACATGGATATATACAAAAGTATAAATATACATCTTTGTTCCTCACCTGAGGAGAAGCTTACGCATCGAAGCAAATATGCATCTTTGTAGTGATTACTAGTTTGTCCGTATATAGCAACTTATAATAAATAACAATTGCTCTACTTTTTGTATTGAGACCTCTTTTAAATTAATGTTATGAATGTTTGAATTTATATTGAATTTAAATTTGTATATATATATATATATATATATATATATAAACCATCAATATAATTATTAAAATTAAATTGAATTAAAGCCCGTCTCTCGTTTTTGAAACATGAGAACTCTTATGTAGCGAAGGAATTATAATCCTAAGCTCTACTTCTGTATGGTGCACTGTTTTTTTTTTTAAATAAAAACGAAAAAGACTAAAGAACCCTGGATTATTTACCAAACGTGTCCTTTCCTATTTTTCTACATACCTGCACATATATATATATATATATATATATATATATATATATATATATATATATATATATATATAATAAAAGATTATTAAACCATAGGCAGGAGTTAACGGTTTTTGCCGACATCAACAAATTTTCGCATTAAATAATTAGCATAATAAAAAAATCCCATAGTTTAATAAAAGTCTTAAAAGCTTAGCCAAATCATTAAATAGGAAAAACCCTTTCTGGAGTCGTCAAAAAACAAACAAATTGAAATTCAGTGCAATACGGTTTGTATATAAAACACCCACTTGAATAAACAAATAAATAAAGAGATAATCAGATGGACAATAATAAAACACAATCCTCCCGACACATCACTTGTAGGCGCGCCATAAAAATATCTCTCACTGGGAACCAACTAAAGGGTGACCGCCAACATTACCCTTGAAATAGATACCCTACCCAACCTTAGCAAAACCTCTTATAAAATGATGAATCTATAGATAAGAATTAACTCTCTGACCACTTAACGAAGAAAACTAGCCTAGCCACTCCCACAATAACGAATGTTATGACAGACCATGCCTAAAAACACATGTAAACCAAGAGATAGCTTATTCCTAAAATTTCACTTGAAGATGAAACAGGACTAAACACCTCAATTCAATTTAATTTTAATAATTATTTGGATGGTTTTACTCTCATTTTTGAAACATTAGAACTTTTATGTAGCGAAGGAATTTTAAACAAAAATATTTTATAAATATAAATATATATATATATATATAATATATATATATATATATATATATATATATATATATATATATATATATATATATATAATAGAAATTTTAGAGGACTTGAATAATCATAATTAAGTAATTCATCGAGTCTAGAAGAAAGGTCAGTAGAATGCAGAAAGCAGTGGACGGCCGTTTCGTCCTATATTTGGGACTGCATCAGCAGTGCGCATTCACTACCAAGAATCGAACCCAGACTATTACGATACGACGCAGGCGTTATACCAACGGGCCTCGGTGACGATGGCGTAACTAATTAGACTCAATATAGCGCCGCTCTTCACATATTTATGAAGGCAAGCAATGAAAGTATCGCTTTGCCTTCTAAATGAAACTCGTCGGCAAAAACTAAGAATTTTTTTTTCCAATTGTCATTTTTAAACTAATTTGTCTTATTTTCAGAATTATTCTGGAAAGTTTAAATATATTATCGACATGGAAAACAAAAGATAAACTCTTAGTAAAAAGTAAATTGCGAATAATACCAATATCCAGAAAGAGACTTATGCGTGAAACCCAGGCTCACAAAACATATATATATATATATATATATATATATATATATATATATATATATATAATACGGTGTTGAATGTGGAATGTAGGTTCTATCACCTGATAAGTCACCAGAAGTGTTGAAAAAAATGGCTATTTTGTAGTGATTTTATAACATTTTATGTTATAATTTTCGAACAAATTATATTTGTTCTACTCTGTATTGAGCATTCTTTTAAGAATAGAATTTTTTGTTTATTGGAATTTATTCCATATACACCTATCCTATAGTATTGGTATATATATATATATATATATATATATATATATATATATATATATATATATATGAGAATCAGAGTGCTGACTTCAATGTTCACTTTAATATTTACATACGTCGTACCTGTGATATTGAGCACTTTATTGCATATATATAGCAGACCTTAAAATATTTCTTCATACATATATATATGTGTGTGTGTGTGTGTTTGTGTTTATACATATGTGTGTTTATAAATATGCATCTCTTTTTAATTTTGGATTTGATGAAACTGTAGCTACAAGACATTTCGATGTCATTGCTTGCCTTGAGAAAGTCGGAAGAAGAACTTTTCCAATTGTCATTTTTAAATATATATATATATATATATATATATATATATATATATATATATATAGACGACGAAGGAAAAACGATACTTAGCCGATGCGTTTTCGCATTTGAGGGATTTTATCAAGATAATGTAGCTGTAATTTTGCTGTACATGTGTGTGTGTGGGGGGTAACCAAATTAGACCAAAGCAGGGGCTTTGTTATATATGGAAATGGTAATAGCAGCCGTTTCCCTATAAGGAAACATTTGGCATTCATTAACCGAGCAGCTTGTATTACTTTCAGTTGAAGGATTTCTCTTTCAAAAATGTTGTCAGCGAAATCAGGTTTCACGTGTCCAGATGTAAAGCAGTACTGGCTGCTTGATCAATGAATGACAAATGTTTCCTTATAAGGAAACGGCTAATATTACCATTACCACCTCAGCCTGTTTAATATCTATCTATCTATCTATCTATCTATCTATCTATCTATCTATCGCAGTCTGTTGATATCTATATATATAAGAATGTTCATATCTATGTATGTCTGTCCCTATCTATCTATCTATCTATCTATCTATCTATCTATCTATCTATCTATTGGAGTCTGTTCATATCAATCTAACTAGCTTTCTGTCTATATTTTGTTCTATCTAGTCATCTCATATCTATCTACCTGTCTATCCATATATATATATATATATATATATATATATATATATAGACAGATAGATACATAATATATATATATATATATATATATATATATACATGTATATATACATACATACATACTATATATATATATATATATATATATATTAGTTAGACTAAAAAATCAAACCAAAAAATCGGACAAAAAATAGCTATAACTGTTATATAACGATAAAATAAAATAAAATGAAATGAAAATAAAATAAAAATAAATAAAGAAATACTACGTTACTTAAAAATCGAAAACCGAAAAGAGAAAATATACAAGTAAAATAAATTGACCTAAATTCATCCAAGTAAATAAATAAAGAAACCAATCCCGATAGAGTTACCGTTAGAAAAAAACAAATAAAGATAATCAACCCAAATAATCACAAATTCAAAACTGTTCCTGCCAAAATAATTATAATAAACTATAACAACCAACCCCAAAACCGAACAAATAGCTTTAATTAAATTCTCAAACCAAAACAAAACTATTAAATGAGTGATATAAACAAATTTTTACTACGTTAATAAAAACACCGATTAAAAAAAATAAGTAAATAAATAAATAAAAAAGAAACAAAAAATAAAATTAAATAAAAACAAGTAAAATAATTTAACCCAAATAAATAAATAAACGACTTCCGGTAAAATAACCGCCAAAATAGACTACCCACAATGCACCACTGACCCGTAAATGTATAAATAGCCAAGAAAAATAACAACACACGTGACCTGACGATTGCATATGGCATGAAACAGACTGTCGCCTCTAAGTGTTGACATCTATGTTCACTTTCATATTTACACACGCTCTATCTCTGATATTGAGCACTTTATCCCATAAATATAGCACACCTTAAGACTATATTTCTTCATATATATATATATATATATATAAAGAAAGATAAAGATTCCAATATTCGTTTGAAGATGAAACGGAACTAATGCTTTTAATTTAATTATATAATTAAATTTAATTTTTTAGCTTCATTTTTGAAACATGGTTATTACTGTGTGAAAAAACCATATTTTTTATCAATTAATTTACAAGATATATATATATATATATATATATATATATATATATATATATATATATATATCAAGCAATGTTTCGTCATATCTATCTATCTGTGTAGCTGTCGATCTATTGGAGTATGTTCATATCTATCTAGCTAGCTGTCAGTCTCTCTATCTATATATCTATTTCAGTACATATCTATCTAGTAAAGGCATCTATCTATCTTGATAGATACCTAGCTATTGATGTTTCCTTATATGTACCTGTCTATCCACCAATCTCTCTACGGAATAAAGAGAATATAGAAGTCAAAGGCGAGATCTTCAATATGTTCGACCTAAACTGTGAATTACGATATTGAATGTAGTGAATAAATGATGGAATATAAGGTGTATTCTTCTTTCCTTTCCCTAGATGACTTTATCAAGCAGAACAAGAGAGAGAAAACACATTTGATTATTGATTTGAAAGCCACCTAGACCCTTGAGAGAATATAGGACTACTGACATCATTTCCCCGTTGCTTTCACCATTGGACTGTCACGAGAGCCAATTAACTTTCAATGTTGTTATTTGCGCAGGCACACCCTGAAAATTCTGTTCAAACAACTAATGTTTATCTACGTCTTAGTGATGGTGGTGACTGTTTTCTTTTTGTGTTAGGATTCCGTCCCAACACCCAACCTTCAAAATGAGCAGGATTGGACAAGGACTATATGATTAGTCACTTATCAATACTTTTAAATATCGATGACTGCCGGACATATAATCGGTGTTAACGTGTTTGCCTTGGTCGATCGGCCAATTTGTACTGCTCAGTCGCCATAGTGGCGGCCCGCCTTGCAAAATCAAAACGAGGCACATGCGATAGAAAGTTAGAGAGAGATAGAAAAAATGTCTGTCGTCGTTCGCCATTTACTCGCTTTTTTTTTTCGAGGCTCCAGCCCTGAAAACACCAGTTCACGCCAATGTGTTTGTAGGAAGTATAGCGTGCGATGATAAACCGTCCTGACACAAAAATGAAAATAACACTGACATCTCATTTTAACAGATATATTTACCAAAATTACGCAAAACCATCTTGAAATACTAAAGAATAAATTTGTTCAATACAACCACAGCACCTAAAGGTTTTCAGAATCTGCTCCAACTCTTCTGGACGTTGGTGAATCTTGCCATAATCCTTGCTTTCAGTTCATCTTTGTCGTTACAAGGAGTTTTGTTGGTCTTTTGCTCAACTGCACCCACACATAATAATCAAGGAGGGTTGCAGTCTGGGAAGTTAAGTGGCCAGACGTAAAGGGTGATATGGTTGCAGAAATTGTCTAACAGCCATAACCGCGTTCTTCTGCTTGTTTGCAAATGGTGGAGAATTCTGTTGCCAGACATATGGTCTTCCAATAGCCACCCTCTTGACGCAGGGCAGCACTACCCACTCAAGGCACTTGATGTAGGTCTCTGTGTTGAGTCTGAGGACATCACTAAAAAAATTCGGGTGTTCTTTTCTTATTAGAATGATCAAAGTGAGTTTTCCGAGCTGCCAGACCGCACCCACTGAATATAAAACACGGTAAAATAGAGTAGCCCAATATCTACACAGGAAAATCTTCAACATTTATGGAAAGGAAATTGCAAGGAATTGGTATGAACACCACTCAAACCCAGTTACGAGGATAGACCTGTAGCAATTTTATGGGACTTCACAATACACACTGACAGAACTATCGTTAATCGCCTAGACATCTTTTTTAGAGACCGCAAAAAAAAAAAAATTACTCTCTGACAAGATGATAAATAATAAGAATTATGAAAGCTAATCGCCCAGACATCTTTATTAGGGACCGCAAACAAAAACATTGACTCCTTATTGATATGAGAGTCCCTTCAGACTGTAATGTATCTTTGAAGATATTCAACAAGCTGTCAAAATAGAAAAAACCTTGAAACTGATATCTCAAAAATGTGGAATATGAGAACATCAATAATCCCTGTTGTAGTTGGAGCCCTCGGGTTGATTGAAATTGACTCATTGAAGGGATTCCTGGAAGCCTATGCCTTAAAGAAATACAAAAAAATATGTTCTCACGATATGGCAGTCCCTTCAGACTGTAATGTATCTTTGAAGACCTTCAAATCGAAATCTCAAAAATGTGGCACATGAGGACATCAGTAATTCCAGTTGTAGTTGGAGCCCTCGGATTGGTTGGAAAAGATTCCAATAGACTTATTGAAAGGATTCCTGGTAGCCCATGCCTTGAAAAAATGCAAAAGAATTGTTCTCACGAGTACAGCCCATACCTTATGAAGGGCTTTATCTATGTGTGCGTTTTTTTTAAAATTGCTTAGTCGAAAATGTCATGATGCTATTTCTGACCTTAGGTCTCTGGTTGGGACCCGGAAAGAAATGATAAAAGGAAATAAAATAATAAAAGACGCGCTTGGAATTACAACGAAAATGGCGTGTTTTTCGAAGCAGCTGAAAATTTAGCGAAAAGAAAAAGTACGAAAAACAACCCACAACCAAAGAGTAAATACTTCTGTATTATGAGGTAACGAATGATCTTCTACAAGCTTCGAACCCTGTCTGTAAAAGACAGTTACGTAATGGGACGGACAACTTTGGGTGGTCTTAAGGTCCGTGCGTCACTCGTGGGAACAATAAGAGATTTTAAAAGTCAAACCATTTCTGAACTTAGGTCTCTGGTCGGGACCCGGAAAGAAATGAGTATACACCAGTAAACAAAGGAAATAAAATAATAATTTTGTAGCTTTGAGTAAAAACAGTAGCAATATTACATCAGTAATAGTTCATCTGAAATTAATCTAGCTTTGAAAAAAATATTGGAAGCTCCCACCCAACATCGGCACCAAAAAAAAAAAACAGTATTTCTTTAATTTCAAATTGACAACAATCGCCAAAAGATTGAAAAGAGAATAGGAAAATGAAAATTTAAAACAAAATGATTGCATGTTTAAAAACGGTAATTTGCTCTCGTGTTTTCTCGTTGTACATCCGTCCATCTTCACGTTCAAGTTATCGGTACACGTCACCTGACTTTCCTGTAAGATTATTCTTTATTTGCCTCTCTCTATCTCTCTCTCTCTCTGTCTCTCTCTCTCTCTCTCTCTTCTTTTTTGTCTTTTTCTTTTTGTCCTTCCTAATTATTCGTTTTAATTTCCTCGCATCTTCACACTCTTTCTCTGATTCGCTCTCTCTCTCTCTCTCTCTCTCTCTCTCTCAGTCTCTCTCTCTCTCACACACACACACACACACACACAAACGCACGTCTTTTCTTTCCCGCCATCTGGTTTAGTTTTTCAATGAATTTTATTTGTGCATTGCAAGTCAGAAGGCTTTTTTTTCTTTTCTTTTCTTCCGAGGCCGCCATTTCACTGGTGACTGCAACTCTCTCTTTTGTCTATCCGTTCTAATTTCAGTCAGCGTCTTCTCTCTCTCTCTCTCTCTCTCTCTCTCTATTCGAGGCGCTCTACATTCGTCTTAGAATCTATCTATCTATCTATCACAGTCACTATCTATCTATCTATCTCTAATTCTATATCTATCTATCTATCTATCTATCTATCTATCTATCTAAGTCTCTTCATATATATCTATCTATCTACTTCAATCTTTTCATCTCTCTCTCTCTCTATATATATATATATATATATGTGTGTGTGTGTGTGTGTGTGTGTGTCTGTTCATACCAATCTATCTATCTATCTATCTATCTATCTATCTATCTAAGTCTCTTCATATATATTTATCTATCTACCTCAATCTTTTCATATCTCTCCCTCTCTTTATATATATATATATATATATATATATATATATATTGATCTGTGTCTGTTCATACCAATCTATCTATCTATCTATCTATCTATTTATCTATCTCAAACAAGATGTTCTTATCGATCTATTTATCTCACTCTACTCATATTCCAAACTGTTTTTACTTTCTTTGTGATCTTCCACTATCTCTCTCCCTCCCACTCTCTCTATTTTTCTTTCTATTGATTTATTCTCTCTCTCTCTCTCTCTCTCTCTCTCTCTCTCTGTTGCTCAGTCTCTCTGTTGCTTTTTCTCTCACACCTTCTCGTTCCCACCTAGTAATTTTATCTCTACTCCCTCTTATTCTCACTCTTTCCGCATCGTTTCCACCTCTCTCTCTCTCTCTCTCTCTCTCTCTCTCTCTCTCGATTATGACATGTCTTTACTTTACCGTATCTAGTGTTCTCTAATTAAAGCCAGATTTGAAGCATGATCATTTTTCCACCTTTTTTTCGGGAAAATTCAAATTACGCAAGAGAAAATGCCACGTCCGGATATGGGCGTCAAATGCTAGTCGGAGAAACTCGTTTACCAACACACAAATAAAATGAAAAATACATACATATATATATATATATATATATATATATATATATATATATATATGAAGTAATGTCTATTTAGGCAGCAATCCGTCTTTTATACATGTTTCTTCAAAGAAGCCTGACACAAGATTTTATTTAATTTTTCTTGTAGTCGTAACGGTGTTTTCTTTTCTTGACATATTCAAAGAAGTTTTTTTTTAATTTTTAACTGAACGTGTAGTTTATATATATATATATATATATATATATATATATATATATATATAGTATTTAAAAATATTTAAAATTTTAATCTTTAAAAATATGATTCCTTCGCTACATAAGTGTTCTCATGTTTCAAAAACGAGAGCCGAAATCATCCAAATAATTATTAAAATTAAGTTGAATTGAGGTGTTTAGTCCCGTTTCATCTTCAAGCGAAATTTTAGGAATAAGCTATCTTTTGGTTTACGTGTGTTTTTAGCCATGGTCCGTTATAACATTCGTTATTGTGGGAGTGGCTAGGCTAGTTTTCTTCGTTAAGTGGTCAGAGAGTTAATTCTTATTTATAGATTCATCATCTTCTGAGAGGTTTTGCTAAGGTTGGGTAGGGTATCTATTTCAAGGCTAATGTTAGCGGTCACCCTTCAGTTAGTTCCCAGTGAGGGATATTTTTATGGCGCGCCTACAAGTCGTTACGTGTCGGGAGGATTGTGTTTTATTATTGCCCATCTGATTATCTCTTTATTTATTTGTTTATTCAAGTGTGTGTTTTATATACAAACCGTATTGGACTGAATTTCAATTTGTTTTTTTTTTGTTTTTTGACGACTACAGAAAGGGTTTTTCCTACTTAATGATTTGGCTAAGTTTCTAAGATTTTTATTTAGCTATGGGATTTTTTTATGCTAATTATTTAATGCGAAAGTTTGTTGATGTCGGCAAAAACCGTTACCTCCTGCCTATGGTTTAATAATTTTTCATTATTTAGAAATTTAATGATGTGTAGTTTTTCGTGTAGGTATAAAGGTCATGGGTCATCCTAGGCTTTACAAGTTCTTGTTTTATTTACTATTTTCCGTTTTCCTTTTGGTTTTTCATTCGTTTCTTTTAGATGCCATAAATATTGGGATAGAGATGTCTGATTTCTGTTTTGAATATTGTTGAAGGAGCTCTTGTGTTGCCTCCATCTAATTTTAAAACTATTCTTCGTTGAGCCTATGTAAATATATATAATTCCCAGCAATAAATAATACTGTCAAAATGACCAAGGATTTCTTAAAGTTACGAATCTCCCATCCTCTATTTTAAAAACAACTTGAAAAAGGACGTTTGACCAACACAAGGCCAGGCCAAAATTAATGAAAACTACAGGTAAAGTTCATTTTTTTTTTTCAGATAGTCATTCATTCCTGTAATTCACTTCTACTAACAAACAGGGATTTTCTTTTCTCCTGATGATGGCCATGCTGGCTGAAACAAGTTGAGAAACCTAATTGAAATAATAAAAAAAATATTAATATACAACCCGGTGTGTCTGATAATTTAATTTTTTAAATATCTTTTATTGTCCAAAACATACATTATGTATGTGTGTCTGTGTTTCTAGAGCGATAGGAATTTATTTTCCAAACATGGTCAGCATATTTTGGCCGTGTTCCTAATTAAAGTTATTGAGTGTTAACTTTTTTATTATTAGTACTGCCATTATTATTAACTATTTTCATGAGGATGAATCTATTATATTCTATCAACGAGTATGTTGCAGATTTGGTTTGTTAGGTTTGTGTGTGTGTTTTAATGTGTTCTAATTGAGCTATGGTCAGAGAGTTGTAATGTGTGTCATCTAGATAGGCATGTAATGGTATGTCCAATATAATTATTCATGAATTTGTTTTGATCAGGGACGCAATTCTTAAAGATCTTGCCGGCGATTTGTTGTTGGTGAAAGATTAGTTGTTTTATTTCGTTCTGCTACAGGCTGCCCCACAAAAAAAACAAGGAAATTTTAGATTTACCATATAATAAAAAGGAATTAACTAACATATAAAAAAAATTAACTATTTTAGTTTGAACACAATGTTTAATATTTGTATTGTTATACCATTTTGAGCTACTAAATTTCTATCCCTTACTTTCGTTTCAAATAACTGTAAAAAACATCGAATAAACTCTACCAAATTTTCTATTTTTTTGTGGAGCACCCTGTAGGATTTTGACAGAATGGCCTCAGTTGAGATCTAGAACTAAAATTGCAATATCAAAATCACAATATTAGTAATAATAAAATAATTAACTAGCAAGAAAAGCCATATATTTATCCATTACGAAATTTTGAGTCGGTTCGTGATAAATATATATATTTAATATAAGTAAAGGTTTGTTACTTAGCTGATTGATGTTGCCTTCAACATCCCGACTTCAGAGTTTCGTAGTCGAACCCGTACGTCCACTCGGCAGGAGCTATCAGCAATTGACTGCTTATATTTCTCGATTTTTCTTTTTTATGTGCACTTAGCATTGCTGTTTTATTTTGAAGTATGTGCGTGTGCGTGTGCGCGCCCATCTATGCGCATTGCTACTCACGTCGTGATTATTTGTCATGTTCTTTCTTTCTTTTTTCCCCACTCCCTCCTTAACCTTTTTCCTCTTTTCTTTCAATTGTTGCTATTTGATTTCCGGTTATTTTTTTCTAACATTTTATTTTTTATTTTTAGGCGTTTTAGTTTATCTTGGGTTAGGAAAATGTTATTTCGTTTTTTTACATAAATCATTGATTTTAATGAACATTCAGTGCTGGTGTTAATAAAATAGTGCTCGATGTAATATAACAGAGCAATTAAGTATATACAAATAAATCATAATTAAGCAATTTATCGGGTCTAGAAGAAACCTCAACAGAATGCAGAAAGCACTGGACGGCCGTTTCGTCCTATATTTGGGACGCATCAGCAGCGCGCATCTATTACCGAGAATTGAAACCCGAACAGTTACGATAGCAGGCAAACGTCATACCAACTGTACCAGGGCCGCGCCGGTGACGAAGAGGTAACAAATTAGACTCGATATAGCGCCGCTCGATCACATATTCCTATGTGGAACTCATCCGAGTTTCTCATTTACCCATAGGGCTATGCCTCCACGAGCTAGGACTACTATCCCCAAACTGCTCAGTCCAGAGAATTACCTCTTCGTCACCGAGAACCGTTGGTACAGTTGGTATGGCGTTTGAGGAATAGCTTAATTATGATTATTTCAAATCCTCGTTATTATTTCTATATAAATAAATATACATTTTATCCAACAATTAAATAAACATTACCAAATTTCCTGCTTTGTTGGGAGAGTATCCTGTATACATCTTATAAATAAATAAACGATTTTCTGTCTGTTCATCCGTGTATCTGAAACCCCTCTACCTCGGGTCACACTTGCTCTACATAGGCATATGGTACCTTTTTTAGAATCAGGATGATTCCAGGATTAAAATCTGCCCTTCATCAGGTGCTTGAAAAACCAACATTGGGATTTGTGTCCAAATGAAGAAGGAACAGTTAAAAACCCAATGCCTATCTATCTAACTATCTGTAACTTCTAAATAAATAAACATCAATTGCTTTTCTATCTGTCTGAAACCCCTCTAACTCTGGCCACACTTTCTCTACATAGAAATCCTTTTTAGAACCAGGATGATCCCAGGATTGATAATCTGCCCTTCTGGTGCCAAATCTTCTTCTATCTAGCTTTGTTGTAACCTAGAAAGTGTTATTGAATTAGGAATAACCAAAACGGAGGTTGTAAATGAAATACAACATACAATACTCGCCAGCGGCGTGAAGTAGGCAAACTAGATCAGGCAGTCACAACAGCAAGGGGGATCAACATTTCAATGTAGACATCAACTAGAAAAGATCCAACTCAATCCACAATACGCTTAGCACGTGAGAGAGGAGTTAAGCCTATGAAAGTCCAAAGAGCAGAAAAAAAATCTTGAAAATGAAATCACACGTGAAGCTTATGAGGCACCTTGTTACTCCAGGACAGAAAGTTAGAAAGTTAAAGAGGGCGAAGATCATCTTAAAAATGACCCTGGAACATATATATATATATATATATATATATATATATATATATATATATGCATTTTATTTCAGTCCTTCTCGAGCTTCCGAACCTTACTATGATTAATTAATGGTGAACATGTCATTTTCGCTTATGATCGATTTCATCACGATTACACTTGGAGAGTAATGATTCGTTCCTATTGTTCAAAGTAGATTCCTTCGAAGTATGAGTCAAACTCTTCTCCCCAGTTAAAGTTAAATAACAGCACAGTCTGAGTCATATAACCTTCGATGGCAACCAGTCTAGGAAAAGGAAAACACGGAT